GAAGGAGATTTTTATCCCTTAAATAAGTTACATACTCATAAGAAAAATTATCTACATATAGGCCTATTTTATTAATAATAAGATTAAATACTCAAAATTTGCATTGGCACTATTTAAAAAAAAAATATTGCATTTAGATACAAGATTTTTTAATTGAAAAAGCCACATTATTTTACAACTACCACGCTAAAAAAGTATTCAATGCAACCCTCAAATAAAACCTAACGATTTATTTCATGATCATGAAATAAAATTATGCCACCATTCTTCCATGACATAAACAATGCGAAAAATCATTAGGAAATTTACAAATGAATTAGTTTTTAATATATAGGCAAGCTATTTAAAGAGTACATTAAAAAATAAAGAGTTGAATATACCGGGAATTGTGATTTATTTCTTTATTGTTTTGTTTGTGTTTACCTGGCCGATAATGTGTATAAATAACATAGTATGAATACCTGCGGTTTCAATCGCGTTTGGGCAGAAAATCAATCATGCATGTTATTTGGGTACACGTATCAGTGTTAAGGCCGGTATACACGATGAGATTTGTAGTATAATACAAGTTTTATAATACTTTTGTATGATAATATTTTCTTGTACTCACCCTAATACATATCTTATAATATTGTAAATAAACTACGTGTTTCCCCCGCCATAATTCTCTTTCTTTCAAGAAAATAAAAATGGAGGATGAGGCTCTGATAGCAGTGTCTATCATCGGACTATGCACTGCTTGATATATTCCACAAGTCCTCTTCCCCTTCCCATATAACCACGAGTTTTTTTTATGTCTTTACTTGTAAAGTCTGCCATTATTATTTACCATGTGCTTTTTTTTAGTAATTATAAAAATACGTTGACCCCTAGTCTCATTACATTTCATCGGTTGAAAGTGATAGGTAAGTTAAGACTTGTATTAGGAAATAGAACAATGCTCTATTCTAAATACAGTTTTATAAGATTTCCAAAAAATCTTATGAAACACTGTATTAAGAGTGTATACACAGTAATATTTTGTATTATAATACAAATCTTATAATACAAATCTTACCGTGGATACCGGCCTTTACACATCATTAAACATGCTCCTTAATTAACAATGACCCTAATTTTAATCTATGTAAAAAATGTAATGTAAAAAAGACTAACGAAATGTGTATAATTTTTTTTCAGGATTTATTTTTTTAACATAATATTGAGAGGGTTCCGTTTTGGTTATTTACAAATTTATATCATGTATTTACAAATAAAACACTTATTATAGAGCTACGGAAACTTAAAATAATTTAAACTGACATGTCAGTAAAAATAATCATGACTGAAAAATATTACATGGCAAAATTAACAAACACAAGACGAAAGACCACCTTTAAGCAATCGCTTAATGGTAGCTTAATGGTTGGGTATTTAATGGTGCTTATAGAAGTTATCTCCTTTAAGCCACCATTAAGCTGCAACTTACAGGTGCTTAATGTCCAAACTTGATTAAGCTGCCATTAAGCCACCTTTAAGCCGAGCTTAATGGTGACTTAATGGTCAAACCTCATTAAACTTTTACCCATCTTATATCGAATCTTCAATCTAACTTTTTTAGTTATTTCAATATCATTTATGCAAAATCTATTTTTTGTGATCTAAAATTTTGTGTTGATCGTCATTTTTATATAACATTTCTTTCAACATGCAACATTTTGGGCACTGAGAGATAAAGTTAGCTTAAAGCCATAGGGGCTTGCTGCCGGTTTCTAATAACAATTATTTTTTTTAATCATTTACAGTATCAATAAAAAAAGACGTTTATCTTATTATCGCAAATGATCTCTTTTTTTTAAATAAATAATGATTTCATACGTTGTTTTTATTATTACTGTATATGATTTTTGTTTAAAAAATAAATAATTATATTATTACACACCGGGGCAACCCCCTGTGAAAAATCTTAACTTTTTACTTCTGAAAATCGATTTCTTCTTAAAATTATCTTCATCCATGAACACAAAATATATATTACTTTTAAAAAAGATGGTATTTTTATTTCATGTATTAAAAGCAGCATTCCGCTACAGAATTCACAGAAATATAAAGTCATGTTCTCATGCAATTTTTTTTTCTCTTTTTTTTATGGAAGGGGTGGGGGGATGGGGGGTGGGGCTACAGGTATAAAAATGTTTAGTTTTTAAAGTTTGACTTTTACATCATGAATAATTTGAATTCATTTGTTATTTTTCTTATAAAATGCAGCGGTAAGTATATATCAAAATCTAGTCGGTCTGTTATTTCAAAATCGATTTTCAGAAGAACAGCCGATCAGATTAAAGATGACATCCGACCAGATTTATACACATTGGGAAACGGGGTAAGATTAACAGTGTACAGTTTACCGACTGGTTAGACAAAAGACCTTAATTAAGTGTCCACCGTCCCCGGTCAACTAACAGGAAACTATACACACACAACGTACACTAGCAGATTTTGATGATCAAATATTTTTTTTACAAAATTTAAATTTAACGCAAGCATATGAAAAATTAAAAATTATGATTCAGTGTAAAAGGACAATTATTTTGATACCCATTATGATACAATAAAAAAATTAACTGGATATGATATTCGAAAAAAAAGTTTTTGTTAACATAACCCGGTAACGGCGTAAACGAGAATTGTCACTAGGCCTAAATCTTAGACACAAAACCATTAACATCCGCAGAATATCAAAACAAAAAAAATCATATGTCTTTCCCAATGATAAATTTTTTGTGTTTTATCTATAATTAATTTAATCTCAATCATGATTTAATGCTTACATGTATAAATCTTCGAACAACAGAGCGAAAAATTCATTACAATTTAAAAGCCTAACTCAACGGTTTAGAAATATTAATGTGATATAAGCCATTTAAAAAGATCCATGAGTAAAGCTGTTTATAGTTAGTTTAATAAATCAAATCAATACTTTTGAAACGTTCAACAAAATACTTTTACAAGTCCAAAACAAATTTGTGCAAAATATATATTTTTTACTATTTTATTTTCCTAAAATAATCAAGAGAAGTGTTAGCCTACTGGTTAAAATGCTAGCCACCTACTCGAAAGGTCATGAGTTCGCGCCGCGTGTGTGTGTGTGTGTGTGTGTGTGTGTGTGTGTGTGTGTGTGTGTGTGTGTGTGTTTTTTTACCAAATCGTGTGAACTCGGCATTTATAATTTGTGATGACAAATCACTATAATATTAATTTTTCAACCATAAAAAAACAGTAATATCGACTGCGTAATGGTGGCTTAATGGTAGCTTAATGGAGTTTGGACATTAAGCACCTGTAAGTCTATCTTAATGGTAGCTTAATGATGACTTAATCGTGGACTAAAAGCTACCATTAAGGACCTGTAAGCCACCATTAAGCTACCATTAAGCTACATTTAAGCACCCATTAAGGACTTTGAGATGGCTTAATGGTAACTTAATGGTGGTGTAAATGTTACTTAAAGGTGCTTAATGGTGACTTAAAGACAACCATTAAGCCACCATTAAGGACCTATAAGCCACCATTGAACCAGGCTTAAAGGGTGTGTTTTATCTTGTGAATGAATTTTTCAAAAGCTTTAATACTTAAGAAAATGCCTTTAGAGTATCCCGATAGTATGGAAATCGGCCATGATCTATAAAGATAAGATCTATTTAAAAGTAATTCTGGTGGAATATAATTAATTCAATTTTAATTTTTCTGCATAAAAAAGTAATAAATATGGGAACCAGTATCAACCACAAAACCCCCCAAATAAATTGTGATTCAATATTCATGTTCAGTGTAATTTATTCATGTAGGTGTGAAAGCTTTCTTCCTACAATAAATATTATTTCAAATTGTTTCTATGCGCGTACTGTTCATACATGTATAATTTTTATGACCTTCGCATCGTAAGGATTCCTGGTATACTGCTCAGAAAAAAAAAATCATCTGCCTTTTATAGTTCCATTGTTTATTGGAAATCTCATTTCTGAGTTACCTCCGCCCATTGAATTAATAAACCACGCCCGCTGGAACTGCTTGGACTATTGTCTTGGACTGCTCTCTGAGACCGCTTGGAACTGCTGGGACCGTTCTTGGACTATTGTGGGACTGCTCTTTGGCCGCTTTGGGACTGCTTTAAAAGTCCCAGTGAGCAGTTCCCGCGACTGCTCTAGGACTGCTTTGTGTCAGGTTGGGTCTTGTCGATACTGTACATTACTGGACTATTTTTCAGCCCTTAAATCACAAACAAAAAACTCAAAAAACGTACTTTTGTTTTGAATCCAGGTCTGTTCAGCCTCACTTTCTATTTCCAGAAGATATCCATCCATCCAAATGCAGCTATCCTAAGGGAATAAAATAAAGGGAACATTTATATTTACTTAGAGGTTTATACACAATTCTGATTTATGAAAAAAACATGTTGAATTTATATACATTATTTTAAATGAAGGTCGTTGCCATATTGTATAAATCATGCTTTCAAATTTGCAACTTGATACTTAACCTCAAACAACGATCTTACGATTACATTAATTTAATTGTATCAATTTAGTGCAAATGACTTGAATAAAAATACAGGCAAAATAGGTCGCTGCAATAAAATGGATAAATATTTTCTGTGTATTTAAATGACACCTTATTTAAGTGTCATCGGGTGAAATAATGATTTGTCAATTTGATTTCTATACCTAAGTTACTATTTTTTTTTTTTACGGAGAACGTTAGAATGTTTAACTAGTTAAGAAAAATTCAGAAAATCTGGCACCAATAGATAACTAAAAATGTTCTCGTTAAAAGCACACTTTTTCTGTACGAGATGAAATTTAATCATGAGAGAAAAGAAACATTTTGTTCTTATGAAATTTTGAATCAGACATCGCGAATTGTTTGACAAGTAATTGAATTTAGACCTTTCTCTGTTTTGTTCAGAAGCCATCCCTATGTATCTCAACAATATTTATAAGTGGTTGCAATTATACTCCGCGGTGAATACATGTATGTATGGCACAAAACTGCACAGAAATGAAGCTGTTTTATTTAGACAAGAAATGCAAAACCAATCAGGAGAAACCTGAATCTGTTTATCGTTTCCAATGAAAGAAAAATAAAAGAGAACTAGATACGATCTCGTTACGAGCAACCAGGTCTTCCGTCCGATTCCGAAAAAAACCCTTAAGTTTGTAAAATCTACCTGAAAAGGTAAAAAAAAAAATGTTGCACGCAAGGGGGATTGAATCCAAGTCAGCAGCATGAAAATCCAGATTATAAATATTACGTACGCTGTCGGGACCTCTGCTCTAAATCTTCTTGTATATACCTCTGTAGAACAGTACTTTTGACTTAGAATTATGAAAGGCTAGTCACTATTCATAAATTTGCGCCAAACGCCACGAGTTATAATCTTCGCGCCTTTTCTTTGGAATGTTCTATTTAATAGGTGTGATAGCTTCAATGAAATAAAAAAAAAAAACCGTTCATTAAGCCTAAAACTTGATGATTAGAAAGTATATTGAAATATTTCACAAACTCCATATAGTATATAAGGAAGTAACACTAAAACAGCGAAACGGCTATGAATTTTAACTTTTTTTTCATTTCATGATTATCGCCAAAGTGAACTATCCCGATTAGTTAATTACATTCTTGAAGAGATTGAAATGTTTCGCAAAAAAAAAAAATGGCTCGCCTTACGACGGTCAAGGAATTGGATATCGTTTGTGCTCAATAACTTGAATAAGATCTTTGAGACAATAATGTTAATATAAACTCCATTAAGCGAACTTTAAAAAAAAATATGGTTATCTTACTTTGTCCTTTCTATTAGTTTAATATGGCACAAGTGTGCATGGGAAAAACATTGGGTAAGTTTTATACTTACCGTATTCATTGATGTTCTTTCTTGAAAAACTATGAATTATAACGATGATTAAAGATCTGCTTTTCCGTGGTGCAATCAGAAGATATTAGGTATCGAATTTCATTTGCACATTTAGTCTTTTCTATTTTTACTTTGAGAATCAACCAAAACCAATTATAGAAGACGTTTAAGAAGAATTTAGTTTGACACAGAATTGTAACGTAACTACAACGTGAAAATCCAAGTATTCCTTTACATTTCATTTGTCCTTATGTTACTTTCGATTAAGCAAATGCTCGACTGCCTCAATAAACCCCTACTGCGAAATGTCGGAGTTGACAGAGAGAGCGGCCATTTTGGAGCGCTTCAAATTTTTAAATGCTAATATCTAGAGTTTAGATTTATCAATCTTCAAACAAATTATATAGTAAGCATTATAAGAAAGGTTTTTATTAACATTCAAAAAATTAAACGAAAAATATTGAAAAACAAAAAAATGTTGAAAAATTGGACTTTTTAAATTAGCTTCCGGTAGCGAGCGGAAGTAATGACGACAAACGAAAAGTCGCGTCCTGGATAGTATTTATCATCATCTATAATCTCTGAAAGTTTCACATTGATATCTTTTACCATTCTTGAGAAAATCCGTGGACAAAAGAAATCAGAAAAAGGCCTGTAACTTGGCACCGGAAGCGAATTTCCAAAAAAATCTCTCAGATGTGTCAAACTCATTTAAGAAAACATCAGTCCTGAAAATTTCATGTAATTCCACCCAGTTGTCTTCGAGATATCGCGTCAGAAAAATTATGTTAATAATAATAAGAAACAATAGAATCGCTATAAGGTCTTCCGTTCAGACTTAACAAAAGACGGAAGACCTTAAAAAAATCACATTGAAAAAGAGCTTATTTCGTAATGTCTTATTTCCTTGGGCGGATGTTGACGCGTCATTGACCCTTTTAAGGTTTGTGGAATGCATTTTGAAGTTGCTGTAAATTTTAAACTAGCATTATGTTTACTGTATAATTAACAAGAAAGACAATGCGTATCGTATTGCATGAAATTGTAACTTTCAGACTTTTATATGAAATTAGAACTATCGGTTTCATTCTATTTTATAATGTATTTACATGTATTAGTGTATAGTATTATTAAGTTTGCTATATTCTAACAGTTTATGCTATCCGTTCCTCCGTAGTGTTCGTACGGCTGTCCATATGTCTGCCCGTCCGTCTCTTACGCTTTGGGGTACCCATCTCTCATCTGCAACTCCACTTATGCCTCCGAATGAAATTTAATGACACCTTTATAGATTCTTTGTTACATAGTTCTATTGTGCATCTCCTATTTAACCTTTTTATTGGAAACATATATTTCGGATTTACCAGAGCAAAGTATGGACAGTGTCTTTTTTGCATAATATTGATGGATTCTCTTATCCGCATCTCCTCTTATACCAGTGAATAACGGTGAATAATGGTTTAAAAGATTTTTGATCACATAATGCCAATATGCATCGTCTATTTTGTTTTTTTTGACCTGACACTTTTATCGCCATTATAATCATATGGGAGGCGGGGGCGTCATTTACTGAGCTCACGATTCATAATACTTCTTGTTTATTTCGGAATAAATGACCATCCGAGTTCCAGTTTTGCGTTCTCGTTGTAACAAACAGAGCATGGCCATAGCAGGTATCCATCAAGCAAAATTAAAGAAAAATATGGCACCTTCTTTGAAACTCTATATAAATGTTCTGAATTTTATTAACTTGTAGGCAACAACATTATTTTGTTACGGAGATCGGGTTGTCAATAACTACCAGAGAGATGAGATGTATATAAAAATGTTTTTTTTTCTAACATACACGGTCATTTTATAGGGACACACTTCCATTTTCAGCTATGCGTAGTATTTGATGAAAACGAACCTATATTTTTCTAAAGCTTTTATTTAGCTCACTTGGTAGAGTGATCGCTTCATGATAAGAAATAAGTGGGTTCAAGCATCGGCTGAGAAAAAAATTGAAGCAAATGAAACGTTACCAAAAGCTTGGTTCTTTGAAGTTGTTGGTCTATTGGTTGAGACCGTAACCCTTGTCACTGCAGGCGTTGGCATGATCAATATATTACTTTCCAATGATCAGAGTTCCGAAACATAAATTCTCACTTTGAAGCTCTTCACAGCCTTCACAGGCATATGATTAAAAATGATTACTGTAGTACTTTTAAATAATCGTAAAAAGGACATGGCACTATACAGATCGAATTAATGTATTTTTATTATAAACTAATAAAGAGCTCTTAACTTCTTTGTGAGGTTTAGATATCCAACGGAAGATCACAAATCTCCTGCCACCTTAAAAGACATACCTTGGCAGCCTGCCACTTAAGAGAATTTTTCACAAAACAATATTTCTTCTCCCCGTTTAGTTGCCATGATGTAGGACATTCTGTAACAAAGTAGCATAAATGGAACATTGGAATAGAATGAATATAAGATTATTTACAGAAATTTATCTCACTATGCCTAGAGTTGATAATCCTTTATATTGTAACACTTGTTAATTGGGTTGATATTGTTGACATTTCGATTCCATTTTGTTCCATACCACCTAGAGGAAATGTCTTCCATTTTCACTTCTGGGTCATTCATTAAATTTTCATACATTACCCTATGCACAGACATTTTTTAATACAAATTTAGGCAAATAAAACTGAAATATTGCAAATAATTCCTTTTTTAAAGATGTACGTAACTATACATATTGTAATTAATTTTCAACAAAGTATATACATTATTTAAATTAATATTTTCTTTAAAAACGTTTTTGGTTCTTTCACTTTAAGTAATTTTACACAAAGAATTCAAAAAATACATGTTTGGACACACATTTTCAAATGCGAATTGACGTATAACCCTTTACTTATTTATGGAATTTCTGAACATGAAATGGGAAGCATTTAAATATCTGCAGTTGCTCTGCAATTTTGTTTTAGTACGTCATGCGTGTATATTTCTTTTTCATTTCATCACGTCAACCAAAACATTTTAATATTTGATAAGATTTATTAATCAAGCTTAGTTTTACTGAAAACATTTTACTTTCAGTCGAAATAATCAAGTCTTGCTGTAGACTTAAAAAAAATATGATTTCGTTCTCCAAGAAGCTTTTCATTGTTTTATAGGATGTCATTTTTAGAACCCGTAAACTATTTGTTTATTACTTACTGCCATATACGCAGAATGGTTTTCCGCTACTTAGAGGCACACACTCCACTTTACACGATGTTGCCTTACAAGATCCCGCCAGCTCCTGTGAAAAGGATACATGTAGACCCATTGGTCTCAGCATTCTGTACCTTCCTTCGCCTACTTAATGTCATGAGTTAATTTGAACATTATGAATTTCTTCTTGTATTTATTTGCATAAAAATAACGCTATGAAAAGAATCCAGAACTCTTGCGTCTTGAAATATAGAAAATTCAACCCTAACTTAATAGATACCTAAACAAAGCGTAACTGTGTTGTTCTTTAAAGATTTATTTTTTTCTAATAGTGTTTTTAGCAAAGATAAAATTTGATCTCTGAATGTTTGGAGAAAAATCAATAAAAACAATCTAAGGAGCATGAACATTACTACAATTTTGTGCGGCTTTGTGAGTGTTGTTAACAATTGTTTAAATAGATTTCGATATAAGACTAATCGTTAATTGTAAACTAGCTCTATCCATTCTCATTATCACAATTTTTAACAAACTTAAATTTATTTTAGTCAAAGATTCTTGCTTAATTATAACAAAAACTAGAGCCTGCTTATACTTTAGAGCAAACATTGTTGTTATGTTCCTACTTTCAACATTGATTCCTATTGTGACCCATGATACATCAGGTTCATTGATCATGACGTTGACCTCTTGCTTGAATCTGGAGAGAATTTTGAAATATTTTAAAGAGGGGTTTCATTTTTCCCCCAAAAATGTCCCTAAGTTTAAAAAAAAAAAATAACTGACACAATTAGTCCCATGAACAACTTCAATTCTTCACCAAAGGATGCTGTGTGACTAATTCTGTTGTAGTTACCAGGCACTGGCTTTTCATAAAGTTGAAAATGGACAAACGATAAAAGGAGACACACAGACGAGAGATGTTAGAGATCTATTGGTCAGAAAAGCTCACCCAAGATTTAGTAAGGCTAATAAGTATTTCAAAATAGGCAAGTGAACAAATAAATGACATTTAATATTCTTTCATACCGATGTCTATATGTCAATTGCCTTGAATGAAGAAATTTTTAAATGTAATACATGTATGTGATGTGCCAAATGTTTGTACATCGAACACAGTAGGTCAAGGCAAAAATACAAAATCGGGCAGAAAAAAAAGACAGCAATGTAAATAAAAATCCTTAACATTTTATCACATTAGATGCGCACATTCATACAAAAATACTTAAATGATGGTACTTTTTGTCATTTTTGGAGCAGATTAAAATCAATATAACATCTTCTAAGACTTTGCAATCCGTGTTCAAATTAAAACGAGAAGATACAAAGTGCTTTTTATTGACCTAAAAGAATTAAAAAAAAAGCATACATGTAGTTTTAGTTCGTTATTTTATTTTTGTTTGTTCCCTAATCTACATCCTTATTGACTATCTTTTGTTAAATTGCTGATAATTTAGCACAAGGATGTATAGAACGAGACTGTTTCTGATATTTTCATCTTTTGTCTTTAATGAAACGATAAACAATATACAATCAACAGTATTCTAGAAACGTCGAGACATTACTTACCTGTGGCTGATTTTCCATTTCAATATAGTCACACTCTAAATCCAAAACTAAAGAGGTTCCAGATTCTCCCTGTTTTGCTGCAATTAGTTCACAATTGAGCTGTTTCTTTCGATAGTTCACAGACTTGCACTTGCGATTCTGTAAACATTTTCGAATGCACTGTTTTTGTCCAATGATCGGGAAAACATTCATGACTTTGCTAAAAGTTATACATTTGCCCGAAGCAGTCACTTTTATGTTAGATACGTTGTCAATTTGAACCAATACAGCATAATGTACTGTAGAAATAAATGTGAATAGTTTTAGTCCAAACATTGTTAATTTCTTAACAAGAATAAAATTAAGGTTTTGATTATTTCACATGTGTTCCTATAGTCGAAAGTTTAACACAATAGCATAGTTGCAAGCAAGCGCAAAGAATTTCATTGACTAGATACATTTACAAAGCTATTTATAAAGTTGATAAAAATGGCATTAAATGTAAAATATCAAACTGATATTGTCTGACAAAGATGTAAATAATTAACCATTGAAAAGAAATTAAGATTACAAAATCTTCAGAAGCATGCTTTCAAATTATATCATGAATCATGCATTATAAATAAAGTTAGAAATGAAAACATGGATAACATGGGATATAAAAAGGTGTTTCAATTACTTTAAGTATTTCATACTTAGTATAAAATACAGGATTTTTACATATTCAATATGTCTGACGTCTCAGTAGCTTTATTAGCCCTGCAGGGCTGATATGAATTTGCGGGGCTGATACGGATAAATATCACACCTAAGTAATTTAAACCTAAAAAACAGTATTTGTGATCATACACGTGTTTTGGGGGTACACATTCTCTTAATTTTAACATTTTTGAATGTAAAGATAATCTAACTGACAAAAGATTATTTTCAAACTACATACATTTGAAATAGAAGTAGAAACATACCCAAACCCTGTGAGACAATAGACTGTGCACATGTAAGAAGTCCGTGCAAGATTATTTTGTTATTTTCTTTTAAACTTAATGTGTAGTGTATTTTATTACTAAGTATGTAATAAACATAATAAAACATACCCTTTTCCACATCACATTCTGTGTCGGCCCTCTACCAATATCAGCCCTCGACCCTTCGGCTGATATTAGGGTCTAAGGATGATACAAAATTTGATATGGAAAAGAGTATGTATTATTCTAATTGGAAATAATTCACTTTCTTGTATTTCCTGATGCTTTAACCTATATGAAGTAATTCTTAGTGATTATTGGTAGAGTATTCAGTTTTTGATTGGTAGGTCCGGGTTAAACTCTCGTCCTCGGCACCACGTCAAACATAATTCATGTACATAGGTATAGGTAGTGACTACTCTTTTGCCAAACACGCGAAACTTTATTTGAATTCACTGGTCTTTCGTATGAAACATTCAAAAGGTGGTACTTTGCATGGTAGGTGTAGGTTGGAAAAAATACCCTCTCCGTTCAATGGCTCTCACTGGCATAGAATAGGGCAAAATTAAAGTAAGCGCTTCTAGGGTATAAAGTGATGTTTCTATATAGTTAAGAAATCTCGAATAGGAGTTTTAGCGACATACAATCAATCAGTCCAACGAAATAAGGTGCTTTCGTCAACTTCTTCAGATTATTATCAAATTTCAAGTACATAATGTACATGCACTTGCAAATTAATTGAGTTCTTTGAGATACAAGAAGATGTAGCTTTGATTCCTCTTTTTACATCCATTATAATATAACCTTTGTTTTCAATAAAATTGTTTGCTGTAAGAGTCTCAAGTTACCAAAAAAAATGAATAAAAGGTAAAATGGGCACAATAAGAATATTTTTTAAAGAGAAAAGACTTGCATACTGTCAATCAGATGCCTGCAAGGGCTTATGTTATTTTCAAAAAAAAAACAAAAACATTTTACCGATTTGTCTGTAAAGTTTATAAATAATATTAAATATATATGATCACTGTGTGGCTTTAGAAATAGGACATTGTACTTTTTTCTATTAAAATATAGAAATGACTCTAAAATGTAGGGGGATTTAATTGCATTATTGAAGATTTTTCATACCATGATTTCCCCTCATATTACATACTGTTGTACTACATGGAGTAATCCAAAAAATGTTGAAAACGTGAAAAAGCTATTAATATTACATAAACCTGCTGCTAGAGTCATTTTGAATATCAGAAATTTTCAAACGCCAGCTTCTGTCATGTTTACAAAACTCCATTGGATGCATCTATCAGATTACTTTATCTTTAGAAAAACCATTTATTACGTGGATTGATGCCTGATTATTTGAACGTTTTTAATTATGTATCAGATGTTAGCCAAAGACAAACAAGAAATTCCAATTCAAATTTACTGTATGTACCCAGGGCAAAAACTGAGTATTATAAGAGATCTTTCGTTGTTTTAGGTAGCAGTGTATGGAGTACACTGTGTGAAAACATCAGAAATTCGACAAGTGTTGTATGTTTTAAAAGAAACTATCTTAGAGAATATCATCATGCGTCTAATCTTGTTCAGTATTTTTTAATCTTATAATTCATTTTTAAAAAATCTTATATGTACTCTATTTCTTTTAACTATGTTTTACTAATACCTGTCTGTATGTATGTTATATTTGCAGGACCATATTGAAAACTAGCATTGTTGCTAAACTATGTTATCCTGGATAAATAAAGGCTTTATTATTATTATTATTTAAGAAATAAAACAACGTTATTCAGTGAACATGGCGTTATGAATAGCAATTGTTTTGCTGGCATATTCCATGATGCGCGCTAGCGCATCATGGAAAATATGCCAGCAGAGCTATTGCTATTCATAATGCCATGTTCACTGAATAATCGTTGTTTATTACTTATATTTGCATTCTTTAATTTTTTTAAAGAATATCAGAGGAAATCCTGACTTACATAAGAACGCAGCTTCTTGTCTTTAGTAAAAAAAACATACGGCTTTAAAATCAGTAAACCTGATTAATGATCCTTTTCTCTAATAAATCACAAACATTTTTTATAAAATATTTCCCTCTCAAACACAGTTATCTGGATACATCAGCGCCGACATCACATTTTTGTTTTATTGCAGTCATGACGTCATCGATCAACGTTTTTAAAACCCTCTGACAAAAATCAATAATTTAATACTATGATGAAAAAAGAGAATGCTTTTATAATGATTATTACTCCAGAATGCTTTTCTATAATTTTTTTTCAGTTTTTCTATTTATTTTTAATAGCTGAAATCATTCTTGAAATAGATATACTAGTTAAAGAATTTTTTTTTCTTTCTGAATGTTATTACCCAAGTGTAAAGAGTTATCGTTCTTTGTTCAAATATGCATGATACAAAAAATAAAAATATGGCTGTTCTCTAAAATTTTTAAAAAGTTTTATTATACAATTAAATACATTGACCAAAATTAAATTTTTAACGATATGAATCAGCAATTTTAAATATTCTGAATTTCCTTTTCTTCAAAGAATATTATTAAAAAGTTATTTTTATTCCTCTTATGAAACATTTCGTATATATACCCCTCAACACGTACTACAAGTGTAGTAGAGATTGCTCTACACGAGTGTGATAGAGCAATTGCAATCATAGTGGAAGCAATTGCGTCTATAGTGCTATGAATGCAATTGATGACTGCATGTTCATAGTGGGAGCGTGCAGTGGATATGCAAATATTAAAGTATGAAAAGCGTAAAGCAGAGAAGAAGGACATACAAACAGATTACATACAAGTAAACACTTACAAAATGGAAAGGTTACAAAATGAAATGAGCAAGCCTTATCTTTTGTTCTTTATTCGTGTACTTTTTTAAGGAAACCAATCGACCTATTTCATAGATAATTTTTGATGTAGTGTATCGTTTCGAAACCAAGATAGATCCCAGCTCTGATGTTTTGGGGGTATCTGTGTTTGCTCTGCTCCCGTTCTGTATTGATTGAAATGAACTTCAAGCTTGTCCAATATCTCCATAATTCATTTTTAATCGAATATAATATTCACTATAAATACCCATTTCCTTTAGGTTCCATCTCTTTAACAAGGCCCGATCTACTTGATCTGCGCATACGTTTTAACGCAGCGTCGACTCAGGGACGTCACAGTACCCTGGACTGCCGTCAAAATTGAATACAATAACGTCACAATTAAGATGACGTCAAAATTGCGCTAAAATGTTTCGCTGATCTTGCTCTATAAGACTGTGCTCATTCTAGCATTTTCATTCCTTACATGTTTTTAGAAAATATTTTTTTTAATTCATAACAACTATGAAACATAATTTATTTTGAGGTATCAATTCCTTGGTACATATTCACTGATCTTTTATTTCAATTTGTGAGTTAGAAAAAAATCCCACTGAAACCAAAAGTAAACGATTTTAGTCTTCCTCCTCGAACACTGAAGTGTTTATACGCACCATTTGTTATTGAGCATAAAGAGAAAATTATGTTATAATGTAAGAATGGTTTAATTTTTAGAAACTTAAACAGTATCACAATCGTTCATTGATGTTATGTTAACCAACTGCAACTTATAAAATATTTAGTTGCCTAAAATAAGTCCTAATTTTTGGTGTTTTGATATGCCCCCTTTTCACTGAAATATAGGCTACCTCCGATTTTCTTTTCATTTCTTAAAAGAGGGATGTAAATTGCGTGATATATGTGAAAATAAAAACATTTCATCCTTTATTTTTTTTAATTTGTCAATTCCTTTGTTTATTGTGGAGTTTTAGTATGTAATTGTGCATAAAAACACGAAAAATGGTTCATATCTTGAAAGTGCCCCCATTTGACTACAGTGAAGGCAAGGTAACAACATTTCATTCTAATTTTTTTTAGCATAATACGTACAAATCTATATCCAAGAATCAAATTTTTTTATCATGCTGTTTTCGTAATTTCCAACTAGATTGGGCTTCGTTAAGAGTAGCGTAAGATTTTATCATTTGTTCCACTACATTTCGCATACTTTGAAAGTTACTGTCCTAAGCAAAAATTCAACAAAGAAAGAAATGAGAGAGAAAAACAACGAGCAGTTTAAATTAGAATCTAAATTTAGATTCATTGGCTATTTTAGCAGGTACCTGTAGTTGAATTTTGATATTTTTTTTAATTCAGAACTTATTAAAGTCTTTGTTGTCTTATCTATTTTCTTCGGCAAAGTGAAGCAAATATTTCAATAATGCAGACGTTTCTTTACCAGTTTTGAACATCTGTACACTTACTTAGTTATTTCGATATCGAATAAGGAATTTCAAAGGTATATCAGTCTATGCAGAGCTTCAGGGAATCGATTTAGACGTCACGATGAAATTGTACAAATGAATCTTGACAAATAAATTATAATTTTCTTTCTCATACACTCTTACAATCTGTGATTTCTTATGAATATTGACTACATTATTGTATACCTTAATGTGTAACTTATTATGTCATTATAACATTATTTGAATGTAAAATCAATGCCAACTTGATCTCATTGTAC